TGGAAGTGGCGAAATACCCATAGGACTTTTTTGGAGAGATGAATCCGTTACAGACGTATAAACATTTTTTACAATTTCTATTAATATTTTTTTATTTCCTCCCCCCAAAAAAAATAAAAAAGTTCTTTAATTTCATTATAATTAAAACCAATATTATGCTCTGCATTTAATAAATTATTGCATAATGATAATTGTTTTCGTTCATAACATAAATTAACGAATGATTGATTAAAATAGCGAAAATCAGAAAAAATATATATTATGGAAATAATTTTCAATATTTAATTAAATCACATCAAATAATCCGGCGCGCAAGAAGGTCCTTAATTAAAATTTTAATTAACTTTAAATATCGGCAAAATCGATTATTTTGAAAGAGCTAGAGAACATGTTCGCATCTGAATGGATAAAACAAAATTAATTTTGTATAAAAAATAAGAGAATGGATAAGATTATTGGATAAAATAATGTTATAATTAAATAATATCATCTGCCAACAGAAGGATTTTTTTAAATAATCTCACATTGGAGTATTTATGTATGGTCATTGTTATAGAGGGTGTTTTAAAAAAACATGTGCCATCTCTCATGGGGAGATTCCTCACGTAAAAATAAGATTTATTTTTCATATCAACATAGATTCGATGTAGCTACATAGTGTTAATAAAGTTTTAATATTTTTTCGATTTATTATAATTCTCTTCCAAGTATTTTTAGCGTTTCAAAAGAAATTTTGAGGGTAAAAGTTGCTATAAAAATGCGACATATTTTAATGCTAAAAAAGTATCGACATATTCACCAGGGACGTGCATATGGGTTATCACTAGAATATTTTTCTAAAAAAAGCATGTACGCCACTGACCTTTTTTTCTCTAGCTTGCGAAATAGTGGTGAGATGATACTGAGTTATTTTAATATATTATTATTTTATTTTAATTATAAACGGAATTTTATTAATTTGCCTTGATCCAAGTCTAATAGCAACCTTTAAAAAAATAATATCATTAACTTGCGAGAGTTTAAAATAAGTATTCTCATTGATTCCCCATCCAATGAATGAAATGAAAATATGAAGAAAAGTTTCTATAAATATGAGCATGGAATACATTTACTAATTAATATAATATAAAAAATTAAATAGTAAATTAATACAATTAATAATTAATTAATATAATATAAAGAAGTAGATAGTAAATATAACATAAAGAAAAATTACAGAATTTTAAAACTTTTTAAAATTAGGTTTTTTGTAATAATTATCTTAGATACCATTATTTTTTATTTTAAATTGTGGTAGGTTGGACTAATAGTAATAATATAAATATATTTTTATTTCAATTTTATTAATTGCGATTAAGAAAATTGCTTTTATCTCATGAAGAAGGCCGAATCCTTTTTTAGTTTAGTTAGTTCATTTTAATTGGCATTAAACGGCCTACACAATTTTGATATCCAAAAAAGTCAGTGGCGCACATGTTTTTTTTTTGAAAAATGTTCCAATGGCAAGAGTTGTAGCTGTTGTTGTATCTGTGCTGCCTTTTATTAAGAATGTTTATAAAACATAGGTGTATCTACTATGCTTTTGATGACTTAGCTGACTAACGATAAAATTAATAACTATAGTAAACGCCACGAATGTTTGGGAGTGATTCATCGCTTGATGAAGTTAGAATCGACACGCGCGCTATCATTTTTTTCATCGGTCACTACCAAAGATATTATAAAGATAGACCGAACATCTGATTCATAAATACTCGTTGGTAGTGTATCAAACATTCCAATGTGTCAAACAAGGACAGAAGAGACAGAGAAGTCTAAAATTTCCGACCCCGGCAACTAGGCGCATTTGGATTGTTCTAATGGCCAGTGGCGTATCGTTTTTTGGAACGAATTTAATTAGTAAAGTAAAAGTAAAATGATTAGTCAAATTTTTACTCCATATTAATATAGGTACTACATTAGCACTTTTTCGTCAGATGAGTTTTGTTATAAGGTCTGATATAATAATACAATTAATATAATAATAATAATAATAATAATAATAATAAAGGACTTTATTTAGTAGAAAAGAAGAAATACATAAGTAATAAAAAAATCGATAACATTTTCCAATTGCCGTTCGACAGCAGGCGAAGTCTAGCAGAGATGCTATTCCACTTAACCGGCAGGTCGACAACAACTGTCAGATTTGGCAGGACACAATTACATAAAAATAATTCTTATTAAAACTAAAGCACTCTCTTAAATAATATAAAACATAACGACAGTTAGAGGGAAACAAAGTTTAACGTTACACAATATGCCAGATTAAAAGCTGAAAAAAAAATGACACTCTTTGCCTAGTGGCTGACAAACCCCAACAATTCAAACAACAAAAAAAAAACGAATCATAGACAGGATCAGTGGTTTTCACACAAAAAAAATTGTTTGACTTTAAATTTAAATTTATTAATATTAAATGCCCTGAAGTCAACCGGCAGAGGCATATCCCACATATACTTATGTTGAAACGTTAGTAGTTTTCGAAAATCGCTCCAACGTCGATTTTCAATTTAAACTTTCCTATATAAACTTTCAGTTACTATTGAATATTTACAGGGTGATTCAGGCTTCCAAAACAGTTCTATATTAGGTTTGTGGTTGGTGACTTTTCTTTCAATTTTTTTTTTCAGAATATGGAGGCATTTAGGCACATTTTAGACATTTTTGTAAACATAGGTGGCCGGAACATATTTTCAAACCAAAGTTGTAGATTTGCCATTAAATTTCCATTCCAGAAATACCTAGTGTTGCCACTTGTCCTTTTTTGATAAGGACAGCCCTTTTTTGGAATAACTTGTCCTTTTGACTTTTTTTGACTTAAAAAGTCATTTTTATTTACGTATTTTCCCTGAGAAAATTATCTACAGCAAACAGAAATATTCTTTTCGCCCAAATTTAATTAGGAATGTTATAAAACTTAACTTATAAATAAATTTTTCTTGTTTAGAATAGGCAACATTATTTAGAACTTCCCGTTTAATCTCAAATGATAGTTTAGGTTTTAGTTTTACCTTTTTTTATCTTGAAAAGAACTTTACAAAATTAGTACCTAATTAGTAACGATTTAGTTAGTTCGCAATCGATAGCTTTCTGTTAAGTAATGTGTAATAATTGTTTAATCTTGTATTATTAATAACTTCCTAAATCTAAAATCAATATTTAATGAGAAAATTGTGTTTTTTTTTAAATATAAGACAAGATTTGACTTTCGGTCTTCTTCTTGTATTATGATGGTTCTGATACGAGGCAATTGCCTTTTAGTCTCGCAATAAAAAGCATTTATCATTAAAAGTATAAAATATGTGTGCTACAGTATGGGATTTCTGTCGCATAATAATGAATACCTATTACGTTTATTTACAAAACCATTACTTTTAAAGGTAGCTTCATCAGATAATCAAATTTCAGTTATATGTTCTAATCTTCATGAACTGTATTAAGCATATGTATTGCGGTTTAAATCACCCTGTATGTTGACAAAAATATTTTGAAAATGTGCGTTACAATAACTTATGTAAAAAATTGAAATAGAAATCACAAACCAAAAACGTAATAGTTAAAAAGCTTTTGATATCCGGTGAAGGTTTTAAAGTCACCTTTTCTGCAAATCAAACTAAGTAAATAGGCGCAAATTTGATATGTGGCAATGTCGCCTTCTCTATCTCAGTTGGTTTTTACAGTGCGTAGTCAACCTCCGAATGTTTGATCGGGTTAAAATGCATAATGTGATATCTGTTCTTCCTAAATCTATGGTCGCTACCATGTGAACTAATCTGTTCAAGGTCACATAAAACTTAATTCCAGTGCCGTGCTGTTTCAAGTCATACAATAATCAATATATAATCTGTTGTAATTTGTTGTTTTAACTGTCAAAGTCTTGTCAAAACATATATTTGGTTATAAATATAAAATGGAATGCCCCATTGGTCGCACTGCAAGCACACCAATGGACTGACGCACAAAAACGAATCATTCAAAGAAACGCGATATAGTATCGTCTTTGTCAATCACGCTAACATTTTAGAATAAGTAGGAGGAGCGCAGGTAGATGATTAAACTGGGCCTTTAAAAACCTACGTCGGCGGTAAAAATTTACGTTTTTAACGTAAAAATGATAGGACGCGTGTCGATTCTAACTTCATCAAGCGATGAATCACTCCCAAACATTCGTGGCGTTTACTATATCAACCTGTTATTATTGAATACCAGTGACAATTGAGACTGTCGTTATTTCGAAATAATAATTTTATTCCTTTCTAGCTTATAAAAAAATTGTGGCTCTATGAGACCAAATTCACAGCATGAACTAAAGCTTCAGCGACTGCTATTTTCATCCCTGTTATTTTTTAACTGTTGTTAATCGCTATTTTTATAAATAACAGTTCCCAATAACAAATTAACACTGAAAATAACATCCAATTTATAGTGTGGCATAATAAAGGAGTATTTTAGTGTATACTATACTGTCAAAGACGGCTCTGGGGAATGACAATCGATAATAATTTTGACGAGGTCAATCTATAGACGTCATTTACTAAAAATTGACATAAAACTTTTCAAAAATTAACACTAATTATAGAAAGATTAAAAAAAGGATCGAACGTTTCCAGACACACGACTCTATTTTCAAAAAAATATTTATTCTCAAATTTTAAACTACACAATTTAAAAATAATTTTTACTCAATATAAAAATAAATTACAACTTTCTTAAGGCCAAATAGCAGTAAACAAAATTTAAAAATAAAGAAGAATACGGAATACGGACCAAGCAATGACGCCTAGGGCTTGACCTCACCAAAATTATCATCGATTGAGATTTCCCAGCCCTCTTTGACGCCGTTTTTTTTTATCGTATGCTATTAATAATATGTAATTGTCCATTATAATCAAAATCTGGGGTAATATATCTTTTGAAGGAAGAGAGGATATAGCATTTAATATGTTTTTACCACTTACCACGGCTATATGGCTTAGAAATCTATCGATATAATTCACGCTAAGATGAAAAGTTTCGGTGCAGAGTTTATATTCTTCGGAAACGCTCGACAGCCAATCAATCAAGATACTTCTTGTATTCCACGTCAGATCGCTTTGCTTCAGCATGTATTTCGATTTGGGAAACGAATAAGTTCGTTCCAGATTATGTAAATGTTTCCATATATCCTAAAATTAAAAAAATATATAGGTTTGGTTGACGTATTTAAAATACTTTTTTTCAAAAGTGGCCCACCCCTATAACTTTTTTATTTTTTTTTCTAGGTAAGGTTTATGTATGTATGTTAAGGCAAGGTTTATGTTTGGGTCGAGATTTCCGTATGTAAGCACAATGCATTCATAATGTACTGAACAAAGAGAGTACAGTAAAAACGTTGCCAAACGTTGTATGTGTGTTGTATGAAATAAACCGAGTACTGTGTGTACAGGGTGGGTCAAATTCGACGCTTTTAAATGGAAACACCCTTTTCTATAGGAGATAGACAAAAACTAATATCGGTGTCTTGAGCTCAATTTTTGTCAAAAACATGATGGTGAAAACCGCATATCGATATCTGTTACCGTTTCGGAGTTACGGGGTGTTTTTCAAAAATATGCATTTTTAACAAATCTCTGTAACTTTTTTGCTATGGAAAATTTTGTATTTTTATGAAAACATTTTCAAAGCACCTTTTTACGTAGAATTTAATGATTTAAGTATAATTTTTTTAAAATTAGTAATTTAACAATTTTCAACAGAAAATTTGATTCTTTATATGGGACACCCTGTATATTTTTAATTTATTGGAAATAATTTAAAATTACCTTTCCAAAAATATAACACGCTTGATATTTTGCTCGATTCCTCTTCGAGATATATAGAGTATATAAAAATTCGCCCGCTTTAAATAAGTAGGCTTTGAACGGCACCGGCTGTAATGCAAAAAAATTCTAGCTGTGAGCATCAATTAAAACGAAAATAATATTTGCTATGAGAGATGCAGAATTTTATAACAATTTAAAATACATTTAACCAACATCAACACATTTAAACTATATCTAATAACAATAAAAATAAATAGCAAACTAAGACATGAGATTTTGCTACAAGTGTTCGACATATCGACCGTCTTCTGTTATGGACAAACGGGGCAGTTTTTGAACATTTCTCTAGGAATTCATTAACTCAGAGGGGGTGAAAGATACCCTCTCATAACTGCTAAGTATTTCTAATCCTTGTCTAGATTATACGGAAGAATAAGGAACCTTTATTCTTCCGCAAATATATCCATAGGATTAGATCCATGGGCACTAAGTCAGGCGGCCTCGATGGCCAACGCCTGGGATCTTGATTAGCTATTCAATTATTCTTGAAATTGGCTGCAAAAATTTGCTGATAACTTCAGCGTTCAAAGGCGGTGCGTCGTCTTGCTGAAAAAATATGTTTTCGAGTTCCATTAAGGGAATATCATCAATAAGGGGTCCAAAGCCTACTAGTTAAAAGTGGCGAACTTTTAAAAATTCTGTATTTCGAAGGGGATTATAACAAAATATCAAGTGTACTATATTTTTGGAAAGGTAATTTTAAATTCTTTTCAGTTAATTAAAAATATAGAGGGTGTCCCAAATTAAAAATCAATTTTTCTGTTGATAACTCTTAAATTATTAATTTTAAAAATATTATACTTAAACCATTAAATTCTACGTAAAAAGGTGCTTTGGAAATGTTTACATGGAAATACAAAATTTTCCATAGCAAAAAAGTTACAGCGATTTGTTAAAAATGCACATTTTTGAAAAACACCCCGTAACTCCGAAACGGTAACAGATATTGATGTGCGGTTTTCACTATCATGTTTTTGATAAAAATTGAGCTCCAGGCACCGATATTAGTTTTCGCCTATCTCCAATAGAAAAGGGTGTTTCCATTTAAAAGCGTCGAATTTGACCCACCCTGTACATTGCTAAGAGCCGTGGAAGGGGATAAAGCAGTTTCGTGGCGGTCGAACGAATAAATTGATAAATTTTATAAATTGAAATTTTATTCTCTTCTGTAATTGAAATTTAGTACTTCTAGGGGAGGATGTACAGGGTGTTCCATTTTGGTTGAAATCATACGGTATCTCCGTTATTAGTAAAGATAGGAGGATGCGGTTTGCACAAACCTGTCCCACTTTTCTGTCAAACGGAAGATGCTTTCAAAATTTTCATATCCCTTTTCATTTAGCTACAGGGTCTTTTCAAATATTTTGAAATTTGGGACAGCCCTCGTATCTCCGTTATTGTGGATAATATCGAAGAGGTGAAAACTGATTCTTGTAGAACTTTTTACGTAGAATACAGTGGCGTGGTCTGTTTTTTACGAAAAAAATATTTTTGAAAATATGAACTAAAGTTATGTTTTTTCAAATGGATCACACTGTATATTTATAAATCATATAATCCGTCTTGCTATGAGCTTCTCAAAAATATTAACACTCCATATTTATTTTCACTATTTACTGCAATATTTAAAATATATTATTTTTTATTAGTAGGCCGTGATAAATAACAAAAAAATTGGCACCGGGAGGCACGTATAGCCGCCCATACTAAAATATGTTAATAAAAAGTTGGTAGGCAGTTCTTTTAGTTTCAAAGCAAAGGAATTTTTCCAATTTTTTTTATCTCAAAAACTGCGACTTTGACTGATTTTGATGTTATTACAAATTTTGTTGCAAATATTATTCCTAATCTTAAATTGAAAACCGCGTTTCGCTAGCTACTGTAATTTTGTAGTTACAATATTTTAAAATTTTGAACTCCCTCCCATACCCCCAAACCAACCCCCCACCACCACCAAAAACTATGGCCAAATTCTCGGATGCCACAGTATTTTTGTGCCAAATTTGGTTAAAATCGGTTTAGCGGTTTTTGAGTTATCGTGTTACAGACAGGCGGACAGACAGACAGACAGACACCATGAAAATATTTTGTATTTAGATCATTTATGACCCAAATAACTCATTTTGAGTGAAATTAAAAAAACTTTTTTTTTGCCGATCTTAATAGCCTACCATACGTCTTAAATTTTATATAGGTACGTACGAAAAGTTATTACTCTTCAAAACAGTTAAAACATATTTAGGTAGCGCCCTCTACAAGTAGGACTCATATTGATCTAATTGATCTCGGAATCAAATTTCTCATGTGAAGAAACCCCCAGACACCAATTTTCATCCAAATATCTGCGTTAGTTCAGAAATTATTTGGAAAATAACGAAATAAAAAAATGATACTTATTCACCCTGTATATCCACAACACAAATTTACACGAACTTTTTTACTTATTTTTATGCCGAAGTTTCCCGAATACGGAGAAACAGCTCTGTATAATACAACTCTAACAAAAACCACCGTAAATAAAAAATACTGTATAACACTATCTATCAAAGAAGTGTAATTAAAGTAAATAGCTCTTAGAAAAAATGCCTTTCAGTACCTACCTATTCTAGGTACCTATTATTATTTATTGTACATATTATACTGGCCAATTTATACTTTTTGTCCATAAACTATAAATTAATATAGGTACCCATTTAATTATATTTATGTAAAAAATATTATTTAAACACACTATAATATTTTAATTTTATCCTGGACAATTTAACGAAAGAGCTCAGTTAACTTCTGGCATTAGTGTTAAAGGGTCTTGTAAGAACAGTGGTGAAATACATGAATTGAGTTTTAAGTTTTAGCCAGGAAAGTGAATAGCTAGGTGATACTGAGTTTTATACTAACGAGATATAGTTGGAACCAATTATTATAAGGTAGGTGTTATTTTAGGGATGTTTGTTTAATATTTTGTTTCTTTTTAATCCGCTATTATAGTTCATAATTTTGTTAATCTTCAACTATATTTTTATACCGGCGGGTGGCGCCTCTCTCATACGCCGCGAAGGCTCCCAGGAGAACGACAGTTTGTATTGAAATGAAGTTTTGTGAGCATATTGTTAAAAATATCTTTGGTTAATTTAGACCAAGAATTCAGACCACTTTTTAAAAATACAGAGACTTCTACAGGGTGTCCCCAAAAAAATTACATATCAAAGTTGTGTTTTTTGTAATGGAACACCCTATATATTAATTGATTTTCGGATTCTGGGAGAAAAATAAAGGTGAGTTTTATAAGAGAAGTATATGACTAAAATGCACAAGGTTTTTGACATATAGGGAAATTATATTTAACATTTTCTAAAAATAAAGAACAATTTTTAAATTACAATCAAAGCTACCTAAATTGGAATTTACCCGGTATAGCCTAATATGTAGTTAAATTAACTAATGTACAGGGTGTCCCATTTTGGTTGAAATCATACGGTATCTCCGTTATTAGTGAAGATAGAAGGGTGCGGTTTGCACAAACCTGTCTCACTTTTTTGTCAAACGGAAGATGCCGTAAACAAAATTTTCATAGCCCTCTTCGTTTCCGAGCTACAGGGTCTTTTTGAAAATTTTGCAATTTGGGACACCTCCTGTATCTCTGTTATTGTCAAAGCTATCGAGAAGGTGAAAACTGTTTATTGTAGAACTTTTTTACGTAGAATACAGTGGCGTAGTCTGTTTTTCTACCAAAAAAATATTTTTGAAAATATGAACTAAAGTTATGTTTTTTTTTTAAATAAAACACCCTGTATATTTAGAAATCATATGATCTGTCTTGCCATAAGCTCCTCAAAAATATATATCACTTTATATTTATTTTCACTATTTACTGCAATATTTAAAAGTTTTTATTAAAAGATCATATTTATTAGTAGGCCATGATTGATAATAAAAGAAACTAAAGAATTATTAAAAGTATACTGCTATCTGTCTCTTGTTTTATTTTGGGAGCCGTTAATAAATTCTTTATATATTAGGGAAACTTAACTCTCTACCGCTATTTGTAAATCTTGGAATACGTGTATACGTAAGAATAATCTATCGTATCGGAAATTTTAGATATTCCTTTAGCTAATTTACGTGAAATATACTTTCAGCAAGATGGGGAACATTCCCCCTCATAACTATGGAAATATTAGAATACTGTTAAATTATTATTTTTCAAATCAATGAATTGCAACCAATGAAAGCATATTGATAGCCTCCTCGATTCCCGGATTTCGCCGTTCTCGATTTCTGATTTTGGGGATTTTTGAAATACGAAATATATCGTGGGCACTACAACAATGTCGAACACCTGAAAAATGCTTTAATAATTCAAGATTTAGATATTTGCAAACCCATCCCGTTATAAAAAAAAGAAATATATATTCACAGTTTCAGTGGTAACAGTCATTTCAAAAGTAAAATATATCAATCCCAAATAAATTTTAATATGTGTATGACTATTTTAGTAAATACCATTTTGATTTTTTGTTATTTATCACGGCCTACTAATAAGAAAATGATATATTTTAAATATTGCAGTAAATAGTGAAAATAAATATAGAGTGATATATATTTTTGAGAAGCTCGTAGCAAGACAGATCATATCATTTATAAATATACAGGGTGTTCTATTTGAAAAAACATAACTTTAGTTCATATTTTCAAAAATATTTTTTTGGTAGAAAAACAGACTACGCCACTGTATTCTACGTAAAAAGTTCTACAATAAGCAGTTTTCGCCTTCTCGATACCTTTAACAATAACAGAGATACAGGGGGTGTCCCAAATTGCAAAATTTTTGAAAAGACCCTGTAGCTCAGAAATGAAGAGGTCTATGAAAATTTTGTTTGCAGCATCTTCCCTTTGATGAAAAAGTGGGACAGGTTTGTGCAAACCGCACCCTTCTATCTTCACCATAGATTCACTAATAACGGAGATACCCTATGATTTCAACCAAAATGGGACACACTGTACTTTAAATCAAATTAAAACATGATCCAAAAAGTTATACAGGGTGAGACAAGATTAATATTGAACATTGGTCGCCTTTAAAAGCATGTTACTCTTTTGTTTTAAATGGATCACCTAGTATATTATTCCGATATTCAATGGAGAATTCATGTCTCTTCAAAATACTAGTAAGGTTGCCTACCCCTCAAACAAAGATTTTCCTAGATATTTTTATTTACATGATTTGATCTGAGTAGATCTTTATTATTTGATAATTTCTAGGTGGCTGTGATATGTCTGACGTTACTTCAACATCTGTCTAATTAGTCCAACTTTAACAACTGGTGGGGTATCATTTTGTGTCAGTTAAAACAAAAAAAATTTCTCGTAAATTTGCCGAAAATGCAAAACTTATCCTACGTCAGAGAGAATTGATATGATTTTAGTTGGTGAATGCAGTGTGCATTCACTAATTAATAGAATACTAAATTCCTCCTGATTTTATATAGTCTGGGTTTTATGGGGATATGTTAAAGACAGTGTTTACAAAACTCGACCAACTCTTGTCGACAACATGAAAAAAATTATTGTAGATATGCTTTTCGAGGTAGAACTCCAAAGACAAGCATTTTATGAAGTTAAGAGGACAGGAAGCATTTTGAGCATTTGATTTCATCTAGCTAATTTTTGACACATAATTATAGGTTTATATCTAGTTTTAATTCTGTAATAATTAAAATATGTTTTAAACATATATCATTTTATTACCGTTGAGTATTTTACTCTACAATCTTTAATTTTTGTTAAATTAACAAAAGGTATATCACAGCCACCTAGATTTTTTCAAATAATAAAGATCTACTGACGCAAAATCATAATAAAAATTAAAATATCTAGGAAGATCTTTGTCTGAGTAGTAGGCAACCTTAATAATATTTTGAAGATATATAAATTCCCCATTGAACACCGGAATAATATACTGGGTGTTCCATTTAAACTAAAGGAGTAACTTGCTTTTAAAAGTGATTAATGTTCCATATTATTTTTGTCTCACCCTGTATAACTTTTCGGGTCAAATTCCAATTTGGTTTAACATACAATGGTTACTGTAATTAAATATCAGGCTATACAAGACCAACTAAAATTTAGGTAGCTCTGTTATCGAAATTTAAAATTTACTCAAATTTACTTCATTTTCACAAAATGTGAAATATGTAAAAAAACTTAGATTTTAGGTATATATGCTTCTTTAATAAAACTCTGAATCTTTATTTTTTCCTAGAGTACGAAAATCAATTAATTATAATATAAGGTGTTCCATTATTAGAAAAAACACAACTTTGATATATAACTTTTTTGGGGGACACCCTTATAATTCTATATATTTTTATAAAATGCTTTTAACTAACCTACATATGCTGCCAAAATATCATTTCGATATAAATTACCGTTCTCCTTTTGGAGCTTATTCCGCGGCGTATGAGAGGCGCCACCCTGTACAGGGCGAGTCTTAAATAAGTGCACATATTTTCAAGGTCGGTAGATCTCATTTAATTAAATATATTTCGTCTTTACCATTTTTCAAATAAGTTCAAAACAGCAATTTACTTTTAAAATTTGGAAAAATATGACTATATATTTGATTAATTTTTGAATCCAATTTGATTAAATTTGAAAACAACGGGATTATTTGTGCGTTTTGTTCGTCTAAATTTTTGTCTACTACATAATATTATTTTGTCATATTACCAAATATTATAGATTTTAACTGAAAATTAAAAAACATTTCAAAACATTTTTCGAAGAATACAAATTTTTTAAAATTTGTTTTGGCACAAAAACGTCACAGACCACAGACGTGTTCCTGCAATCGAAATATACCACTCTTAAAAATATGGACAATAATTTCAGATTCACCGTGTATATTTTGTGATATTTAAATATCTTTGAAGGAAAATTTTGTCGTCATATTCATATATTACTGCATTTTTTTAATTTTTCTTACTTTTCTGTACTCTGCAACATAAAGTAACCGTTTTGGCATATTCTCTTCTTCTCTTAAATGATCCTCATTTTCATTTCCTTTTCCTTCCAACACATCTGCGTCTAAATTGTTAATCTTTTCATTTTCCTTAAGGCTATCATCTAGGCTTACAAGCTCCTAAAAAGTATTAATTTGAAATTACATTTTTATTAATAAAATTATTTTATTTTCTATATTCATTTCATGTTATTTCTATATTCATTTTTTGAAAAAAAAAATAATATTTTACATTGGCATTAAAAAATTAAATATGCAACAGCTCTGGCAACGGCAACAAATACCTTTTTTATAATTATTATGATTAAAACTTGCCTCTATTCTACTTTCTTGCTCCTTTTCATGTATTGTTTTTACATCGGCTCGCACTCCATTTTTCAGGGTCCGTAAAACACCCCTGTTTGATACTACGCCCTTTTTTTGAAAGACTTGCTCATTTGGCTTGTTACTTTTTTTCAATCTCTTGTTACACTTAACATCATTATTTTCGTTATCTTCTAAAATACCAAAACTAGCCATATTATTGCTTAATTCTTACTTGATGTATATCTTAGTTTTTCAGTAAGCGTCTTCAACATAAAATTACACTATTTTAAAGAATATCACAGCCTAGAATGAATCCAAGATTCTTTATTATAAAAACGATATTATTTTTTAGTTTTTGTATGAATATTTTATAGTCGTTTTTGTCATTTCCAAGGAAATGTCTAAGTCAAAGTCTTAGTACGTAAAAAAGATCGTATCATTTCATATATTGAATTATAATAAAAAGAGTTTAATAATACATTAATTTTATTATATTCTGTTAATTTATATGGCAACGGTTTCCTAATTATTTCGAAACATCCGCTTTATTTTAGATACTTTTGATTTCTAATGTTTTACTGATTAAAATTATTCTTTATCTTTTTTCAGCAGTGGCTAAAAAGAGACAGCAACATATCGCGGTATTTTCATTGGTGGCGTAAAATATTATGTTGGTTGCAGTGATTCGAACACCTGTCATTGTAAATTGTGGCAGCCATATTGTGTTTTACTTTTGAGAGTGACCCGGAAAATCATAGTTTTTTAATTAGAAATATTTGTAGTTTCAAATAATAAAGCAGTTTATCGTATGTCCAAGTATCCCATAAATTATTGGGTTATTGTCATTTGAAATAAACACCCCGAAGTAGTAATATCCGCTGATATCCGTGAATCGTCAGTGCTGCATTGTGTGTTAATTCAGTGTTTTATTTTGGGAAATTCCTCTATATTTATGTAAAATACAAATGAATAACCATGTCGGTACACTATAGATTTAAGTCCGCTCTAGAATATGATACAATAACATTCGATGGTTTGCATATTTCTGTGAAGGATTTGAAAAACGCCATTATACAACAGAAACGCATTGGAAAAAGCACCGATTTTGATTTAACAATAACTAATGCCCAAACCCAGGAAGGTAAGCATCGTTGATTATATACTGTTTTTCATTAGATTTCTTCTATAATAAGTTTATTTATTAACCAAATAAGCTGCACATGTTATGATGAATTTTTACGTTATTTATATTGTACTGTATTCATTTTTCAGTTTATAAAGATGAGAATAGCCTTATTCCCAAAAATACATCTTTACTTATTGCACGAATACCATTAACTGCACCAAAACCGAAGCAATGGGAAGGGTATGGTGGCAACGATACTCCTCCTTTAACAAAAGTCGATGACATTGGTTCAATTGGAAAGGCAGTAGACTTGGCTAATCTTGACGCTCCTGAAGAAGATAAAATTAAAGCTATGATGACTCAAAGTACACAGGAATATGATCCTAGCAAGTAAGAACATCATTTTTTATTATATATTTACTGAAAACAGTTTGTTTTACTGTTTTTTGTTTTATTTTTGTATCTAGACATATTCTAAGTTTTAATACTTTTTAGTTATGCTAAAATTCGTGGAGCTAATCAATTTGGGCCGGTTCCTCCTAGTTATCGATGCTATAAGTGCCACCAGACTGGACATTGGATAAAAGATTGTCCTCTAGGGCAAGGTGTTGTGAGTATAGTGTATATTTTTATATTATACATTTATTTTATTAGTATTTAATAAATTTACTACTATTTTATATGAAAAACAAAGATATCATAACCAAATTTTGTAGGAAAATGTTGATATCAAGAAAAGTACTGGAATACCGCACAGTTTCATGGTTCCGGTAGAAGGTCCGCAAGTTCCTGGAGCAATGATGATGTCCAACGGCCAGTATGCAGTCCCAGCTCTGGACTACCAAGCTTACAGTCAGAAAAATCCTGCTCCAGCTGCTACTTCAGCACCCAAACCTGAAATTCCTGAAGATTTGCTTTGCAGTATCTGCTCCGATTTGTTAACTGATGCTGTTATGATTCCTTGTTGTGGTAAGCTTATATTTTTTTTGAATTACCTACATTTAAGTAATTTTTGTGTTATTTTTTTACATTACAGTATTAATTTATTCCAACTTTGTTTAGTTTGGGTCTACTTTGATATATAACTACATGCTTTTATTGATTTATATGTGAAGATATAGTGGTATAAGCCTTAAATTTTGCTTCTAATTCATTTTAATTGTCGTGTTTTTGACAATATAGTTATATATATAATGTCATGAAATTATTTATTATTGTGTTTTAAAGATATTTGTGTACAGGGTGTCCCAATATTCCGTGGACATAAAACTATATGTATTTTTAGAATCAAAATAAGTTTATTGGACATAATTTACCTTCATACAAAACTGCTTCATTTGTCTGAAGGATCAAACTTTAAAAAAATAAACATATTTTTTAAGATATTTTAAGAACCGATATTCTGATTTGAATGATATTTGAAGTGCCTATGTTTTGAAAAGATAATTGAAGAAATTGCTTTTGTTGACATGTCAAAAAACAAAATAATCAGGAGACATGGTTCTGACCGAAGAATAAGGTTTTAGGACAATTTGTTCACGAAATTATTGCACAGGGTGTTTTAAAGATAGGGTAAAAAACAACTCTACGGTTAACCCTGTATAATAAGTCAAATACTAAAGTTTATAGTAAACTGAGTTTAGGAATTTAAGTTCATATAGGGCTAAAAATAAAAAAATACAACATTTAAACTGGGCCAAAAATTTCTCCGTTGCGTTTTATTTGCATCTGAGTGTATTATAATTTATTTATGTGCTTTTTTAGGTAATTCTTTTTGTGATGAATGTATCCGGGGTGTATTATTGGAGAGTGAAGATCATGAATGCCCCGATTGTCATGAAAAAGATATTTCCCCAGCAACTCTGATCCCAAATAGGCAAGTTTAATTATTTATTTGTAATTTTTTATGCTAAATTTTATAATTTTTATAGGTTTCTCAGAAAATCAGTGGCCAATTTTAAGAACAACACTGGCTATGAGAAAAAGCCAGTTTATAAGCCTAAACCTGTAGTAGTAAAGGAACCAGAACAGAAAAAAGAGGTAATTATAATAAATGTATATATTTTAGAGAAATAAGTAAGTTTAGAGGAGTACTACAGTGTTTGTTAATACAACTGTCATTTTTTTGTTTATATCTAATAATGTTACCAAATTTCTCAGGAATATCTGGTGAAATCTATTTTATAATATACATACATCAAAAATAGTTGAAAATGCTTTAAAAACAATATGTGGTTATGGTTACATATTCTAAGACATATACATGTAGTATCATCTACTACAAAAATAAAATAAATACTAAACACCAAAAAGAATGGTTTTGTATAAAACTACACTAATTTACCAAGTTCGTGATTTGACAAAAGATAAAAATACAAATAACTAACAATTTAAAATAAAAATGCAATATGGTGCAGATTAATAGATAATTTAAGAAATAAGGTAATAAATAACAATTCTCTCACTAGATATTTATACCGGGTGTTGCATCGTCGAGCGGGACATAGGAAATCCCATGTAAATTTTAATGGGGTTTGGCTTGTTGGCAATTATTGGCTTCCCTAATTATTTTAGAGAATAATTCTATTTAGATTTGTTGAAGAGCACTAAAACCCACATTCGAAAGAATAACTTTAGATATTTTTGATTAGCTCGTTTACGAGTTATCGCCGATTTTTTTAAAAATATTTCTCCTTTCTTATGGCCCCGTATTTACTTATGAGCACCAGTCAAGGTAAAAGATAGCTGTCAAATGAAGTTGTCATTTCAGAAATTTATCTATTTAGTGCTTTATTATTATTGAAAAATCATTCCTACATCGGAAATCTTAAAGATGTTTATTTATAAATACAAATTAATATGAATTCAAGTAAAATAATGTAATCAATTACAAGGTTAATTATAGTATTATTACAATATTCAATAACTTATTAATTTAGGTACTATTAAATTGTTAGAACTTTAGGATTTAAGATGTTCAAATATTCCTCCATCGACTGCTAGACAATAACCCAGGCGATCATAAAATTCTCTTTATACATTCGCTAGTTGGTAAACTGAAATTCTATTGCATTTGGCAGAAATACCATTTTTTAACTCGTCTAAATTTGGGTATTTTTTATCCTTGTATATCCTGTTTTTTAAATGGCCCTAGAGAAAGAAATCATTTGGCGAAATATCAGGAGGCGTTGCTGGCCAATTTACTATATGATTTAGGCCAATAACGTTTCCGTTAAAACTATTGTCTAAATATTCCCGAACAACCAGGGTACAATGTGCCGGGCGGCCATCCATTTGGTACCAAACTTCCTGATTTTCCCTAGCGGCATCATGTAAAGCAGGTAAAATATGATTTTCGAGTAGTTCCAAATAATATTCTGCATTTAAATTTCGTGTAAGAAATAATGGCCCGATAATATTGTGTCCGAATATCCCTGCCCAAACGTTTACTTTCTGTGGATATTGCGTCCTTGTTTCGACAAACCTGTGTTGGTTTTCTTTGTTTCAATATCGATAATTTTGAACATTGGATTCATTATTTAAGGTAAACGTGCATTCGACCGTGATACATTTGTTTTTTAAAAATTCCCTATCCGTGTTTGCTCTTTCAATCATATCAAAACAAAACGCCTGCCGCCGTATTTCGTCCCCATCTCGTAGCTCTTGGTGCTTTTCATATTTGAAGGAATAGTATTTATGTCGTTTCAAAATTCGAAACGCTGTAGTGTGATCTATTCCTATTTCATCCTCAAGTGTCCTTGAGCTGATCTTTCCATCGTTCTCTTCCACGCACAATAAAACTTCCAAGTCGGTATCATTTCTTGCATCTTCTCTTTGTTCCTGCCTTGCTTCACATCTGCAGTTATTTATTAGGGTATCTTTGGTCTCAAATCTCTAGATATTCCTTGCAATTGTAGATTTTCCAGGTATCGGTCTATTCGGATACAGAGCAGCAAACATGTCCGACACCTTTTGATAACTATTTCCTTGATAATACCATTTAATCATCAATACTTTTTCTTCGGTATTGTAATTCATGGCTAATATTTTCGATGTAGGTATGAGTTTTTAATAATAATAATAAAGCACTAAATAGATAAATTTCTGAAATGACAATTTCATTTGACAGTTATCTTTTATCTTGACTGGTGCTCATAAGTAAATACAGGGCCATAAGAAAGGAGAAATATTTAAAAAGAAATCGGCGATAACTCGTAAACGGGCTAATCAAAAATATCTAAAGTTATTCTTTTGAATGTGGGTTTTAGTGCTCTTCACTAAACCTAAATAGAATTATTCTCTAAAATAATTAGCGAAGCCAATAATTGACCCCATTAAAATTTACATGGGTTTTCCTATGTCCCGCTCGACGATGCAACACCCGGTATGTTAGAGTGCATCGATGTTTACTAATTTCTCTTGAAATTTATGTGTATATTATACCAGATATTACTATTGTTTTTCTTGTATAGGCAACTCCACCTCCTGTCGCCGATTCTACTGAAAAAGAACATCAGAAGTTAGAAGAAAAGACAGTTATATCAGAAGCAGATTCCACTGAGCACACCAAGAATGACACAGACTTTTCTAAAGTATATATACTTACGTAAAATTTGAAGTTAAATATATCTAATCTCTTTTTTGTATCAGGAACCTGAAATGGAACCCATAAAGACTGATGATGTCGAAGGCCCTCCAGGCGTCTCACCTTTAAGAGAGTCGCCTAAGCGTCACATCAAAACCAAAGTGACAAGTGACAGAAATGGATCTCACAAAGATCGCGATTGTAAGTATTTTGCGTAGACATTTTATATACAGACTAAGAAAAAAAATCTTTTTTTTTAGATTCAGATAAACATAAACATAAATCAAGTTCCCCAAGGAAACATAGACATCCAAGATCTCCTAGTTATGAATCTAGGTAAGGAATTTATCTAAAAATATTTATTTAATAGTTTTTTAGTTCCTTTTACTATGATCACTCATAAAATATACAATATTATATTGAAGGCTTTATGCACTAATATTTTTTTGAGAAAGTGGGTTTGTCTTGGATTAGTTTTTAACAGGATTATGAGTCGATTATTAATAAACAATATACCCGGTGTGTGCTATAAATTTCATGCCAAAACGAAATGTTTTTTTTTATTGAGATATTAAAAAAAGTTTATGCAGAATTTCGTCAGTTTGTTCAACAAATAAAATCATTTTTGACATTTGGCATGCGACAGACCACAAAACATCCCCCTTTAGTACTTCGTCTGTCATGTTAAGAAATGGAAGTAAATAAAGCGCCTCGTGTTTGTTTACATACTAAAAATTTCAATTAGTGCCTGTACACATATATTGTTAATATATTTTTAATTGTGAAGTAATATATTATTACATTTAAATGAAATATATTACATAACAATTAGGTATGTCAATTACAGGCTTGTTTTCTAACATTTTTTAAATAAAACGAATTATAAAATTCCAATATAGGCATATTTGTTGTAGGTATGAAAAAAGTAAAATAGAAAATGGACAAACGCTTACTTACATTGCAATAAAACTGCTACTTTTAGTTCTGCAATCCAAACGCAATATTTCTTTTTCACAAATAAAAATATCCGACGACACTAAAATCACTGAAACTTCGGCGGCTGCCAACGAAAACTGAAAAATATAACAGCACTTTTTGTTTTCAACCTGCATATCAAATTTACGTTTTTATTTTTGAAGTAATATAAAATATAATAGAATTGTCTAATTACTAATAATAATATCTTGTGAATTTTAATATTTTAACTATCTCTGACAATAACTAACTTTTTGTTATCAAGGTGACATTTTTGACGGCAACTGATATATATAGGGTGAGTTTTCTATAATGTTCTCTATGGGTATCTCGGAAACTACTGGAGATAGAGAGCCGGTTAAATGGGGAAAGAGTTGCAGTTTTATCGGGTCATAAATATGCGCCTTTCAGATTTTTGAAAAAGTTTATGGCTTACTAGATATTTCGAAAAAAACTAATTTCGGCTATTTTGTCCCTAATAATTTTGTCCACAAATTGTCCCTAATTCCAGTATAAGCTATTTTTACAAAAAGTTTTCAGATAAAAGTTGTAGATAATCACATCCTTAATGAGGCTGTGTCCTCCGTTTTTTTCTAAAGCCTGTCATTTTTGACATATGACACAAACATAGGTTTTTTTAAATGGAAATCATAGTTGGCCATGACTTCATAAAAAGCGCCATTTTTTAAGCTTTTAAGTGATATAAGCTATAATATCTTTTCTTCGAAAAATTACTAAGTTATAGCCAATTCTTATGATTTTTAAACAAATTCACTTAGTTAGCCATGGAAACAAGTTCAATCGCCGTTGCTCTCAGAAATGTGAAGCTGTCACATCGAAACTTTGTAAATTAAAATAAACAAAAATTGTAAATACGAATTTTTCAAATGAAGAAAAGCGTGTGGATACTCGCGCATCAATAGAGTGGTTCCAACATGACCTTCCATTATGACACCCCCCATAATGAGAGAAATGTAAAAAATGATTTATATCATAATTATACAAACGCAGGGATAGGAAGAGGTTGACTAATTGCATGGGCCTCCCCTGACCTATCCATTTTAGAATTTTTTATGCGGTATAGTTGACAATAAGGTTTACAAAAGAACTTATGAATTAAGAGAGGCACTAGAAGTGGCGGTACGAGAAAAGTTTAATTAAGTGGACCGGTCCTTCTATAAGAATGTAGTAATTCAGTTTTACAAAGATGCAACTCAAAACAATGGCGGATTTTTTGAACATTTTCTAAAATAACTTAAAGTGTATGTAGTGATATTATTATTATTATTTTTTATTTTTTATGTATTAGTTTATGTAATGTAAATTGTAAAGAACCGTAAGAGCAACGGCGATTGAACTTGTTTTTTTGTTTTTTGCTAACTAAGTGAATTTGTTGAAAAATGATAAGAATTGGCTATAACTCGTAATTTTTCGAAGAAAAGATATTATAGCTTATATCACTAAAAAGCTTAAAAAATAGCGCTTTTCATGAAGTCATGGCCAACTATGGTTTCCATTTAAAAAAACATATGTTTGTGTCTTATGTCAAAGATGACAGGCTTTAAAAAAAACGGAGGAGACAGTCTCATTAAGGATGTGATTATCTACAATTTTTATCTGAAAACTTTTTGTCTAAAATAGCTTATAATGGAATTAGGGACAATTTTTAAAATAGCCGAAATTTGTTTTTTTCGAAATATCTAGTAAGCCATGAACTTATTCAAAAATCTGAAAGGCGCATATTTATGACCCCACAAAACTGCAATTCTTTCCCCATTTAACCGACTCTCTATCTCCAGTAGTTTCCGAGATACCCATAGAGAACATCGTAGGAAACTCACCCTGTATGTCATAATATTTTTTAAATATATATGTACTAATATAATTTAAATTAATATAACGCAACTTTATACTAAGAAAACATTTATACAGTCACAAAATCCAACAAATCTAATAATATAGTTTGAAAACAATGAAAATTGAATTAAAATTAAAATGTGTCAAACCCCTTGTGTCAAAATTAAATGATTAAATTTTCGCAATTTTTACACCATTTGTCGGCGCCTCTAGTGTTTTTTCGCACGGTTAGTCGTTTACTTCCTTTTACTTCCGTTTATGGCCATTAAAGAAAAAGTTCTAAAGGGGGATGTTTTGTGGCGACATACGTCCATGGTGGCAAGCTGCAAAACTGTTCACTTTATTGTAAAACTTTACTGGAAACTCTAAAATGTGTTTTTTAATGAATGTTCTGTCTCAAAAAGTAAAAAAGCTATAGCTAGTTAAAAGTGGGGCATATTGAAATGCTAATACTGTACATAGACTTAAAAGTAAATTCTGAACAACGTTGCTCTTTAACTTTTTTCAATATATAGTCACCTAACCTTACTTATGGCATATGTAAGGATTTTTTTTTGCTTACATGCCATAGACCAAAATGCCTTATTTGATATTTGACATGCTGAAGTAGTTCCAAATAAACTTTTTTTCAATATCGCAATTAATACAAATTTTCTTCAGAGTTCTTGAGAATTTTGTGGCAAAACTGTATATGAGTTGGCCTGAAAGAAATTTTTATTGATAGTCATTTTAGCCATTTTTTTTCAATAATATTCAAATTAATATCAACTTGCTTCAACTTGCAAACAGTATATTAAATAAGATGTTATAGTTTAATTAATAATAATTGAAATACACATGTGGTTAGAATTTTTAAAATTATTTTTTTTATTTCACTTAAAAGAATACCTTTATTGTCCTTAGGAGGCGCTCAGAAGAGAGACAAGGTACACCAACGAGAGATGAACCACCAGGAATGGGAACTAACTATATTCCGCCCACATCAACAGATGCATTTAATCCAGGTGGTTTACCACCTAACATGATGCAGGTATTTAGTCTTTTATAATTTTTTGGCTGATGTCAGTACCGTTTAATATGTTATGCAAAATAAATGTTAATGTATTTTGTGGCAAAGTATTAATTTCTTTATCCAGTCTGTTCTGCCAAACAATATATAAAAGTTACTACTAATTCAGTCCTTTTGATTCAAAAGTAGATTGATTGTTTTTGTCATTTTTTGAATTGTCTCGAAATCATAATATTTACCATTCTCTCACTGGGCAGATGTGATATATAAATTTATATAAGTCAAAAATAAAATATATTTTATTGCTAATTATCATCAACCAGCCTGAAGTGTCCCTGCTGGACGTAGGCCTCCCTCAAATCTTTCCACTCTTCTCGGTCCTGTGCCACTTGGATCCAGTTTCCCCTAAATCTCTTTAAGTCATCTGACCATCTTGTCGGAGGTCTGCCTCTGTTTCTGAGAGTATCCTGTCTTGGCCGCCATTCTAGTATTAGCTTGGTCCATCTATCATCCGTTCTTCTGGCAATATGCCCAGCCCAGTTCCATTTCAGTTTTTTAAGCAGATATATAGCATCCGTTATTCGTGTACACTGTTTTATAACTGTACTGGGTATCTTGTCTCTTAGAGATACACCAAGCATTGCTCTTTCCATAGCTCTTTGGGCTAGGTGTCTCTGCGCCATATGTAAGTACTGGCATAACGCACTGATGGAACACCTTCCTCTTTAAGCGCATTGGTAGATCTGATTTTAACACATATCTAAGTTTGCCGAATGCTGCCCATGTTAGTCCTATTCTTCTTTGTATCTCGTGCGTCTGTTTATCGCGACCAATTGTTATTTCGTGCCCTAGATATTTATATGAATATACTTGTTCTATATTTGCTCCGTCTACCGAGACATTTCCACTAATAACAAGATCAATCATCAACACTTGATAACGATCAGTGATACCTCTGCCTGAAACGTTGTGGAAGTAAAATAAATAAAGACAATAGTAGGAACCAGAGGTAGGAACTTGAATTATTACAATAAATTAAATGACTAAGAATAGTAATATTGTTTCACCAACGGTGTCTAATATAAATATAATGTGTTGCAGGGTCCTCCACCTAATAACATGCCTCCTGGAGTGTTTCCACCTCCTGGTGTTCAGCCACCAATAGGAGGTTTTCCTCCTGTGTCAGGACCACCACCAAACTTTAGGATACCACCTCCTGGATCACAACCTCCTCCATTTATGGGCCCTGGGTAAGGTTTTTTTATTATTAGTATAACAATTACTTTCAATTTTCTCTATGAGTAATAAATAATATAAAACTTGTCCTTTTAAACATATTGCTTGTATACAATTGGGTTCTGATTTTTTATCTAGAAATTATCCAGTTCCACCAAGACCTATGTTTGATCCTTCAAGACCACCTATGGGTGGTCCTGGTAATTATGGTCCACCATATGGAGGAAGACCGAGAGATTTTAATAGAAGAGGTATCAGGGAAAGAACACCTCCTGGGTATGTGATCCATAATTAATTTTGAGCTTATATAGATATGTATTTTTCCTTTAATAAATTTTATTATTAAGAAATGTTAAAAAACTTAACTTAATTTTACATTACTATGGCTTATTAAATATTTATGTCCATGTTACGCCATTTTAATTTTATAGAAGATCAAAGGGCAAAAATCTCGAAAAACATTGTTTTTTCGCGATTTTCAGCAAAACGGTAAGTTTTATCATAAAATTACCTCAGACAAAAATTATAGATCATAAAATTCTCTATAAAAAATTTATAAATATTTTTTTTCCTTAGAGCCACTGTTTCTGAGATATAACGAGTCAAATTTAGAGTTATAATCATATATATGAATTATATCACGAGACCTATAAATTTAATCGATTAAACTATTCAAATATATTTTGCGCGTGATTTTGCTTGGAAAATAGTCGAATGCACAATAATTTAATAAAAACCAGAGACCGCGAAGCGGTCGAGGGTTTTTATTCTAAAATTATTATGCACGAAACTATTTTCTAAAAAGCAAAATCATGCAAAAAATTAGTTGGGTAGTTTAATCAATTAAATTTATGGGTTGAGTGATATACGGCTAGATTATTTCCTGAATGACTTAGAATGAAGCGAATGACTTAGGAATTTTATTAACTATAAAATTTAACATTTTCAAAATGACGTCTCGTAGGTAATGTGTGTGCTTCTGCTACCTTGGTTACGCATCTCAACAATGCATCGAGGACCGTTTCGCATGTCAACATATCAAATTCTGACGTAAAATAATATCGTATAAGGGGTGTTCACCGATTAAAATCGTTATTAAGTCATATACAGGGTGTTTCAAAACAAATGCGAAAAACTTCAGGGGCTGATTCGTTGTTCAAAATAAAGGGTAGTTTGCTTCATAAACGTTGGGTCAAAAGCCAACCATTAGGGAGATATCGCGGTACAAAGATGGCGGAAAAATAATGTTTTTATTTTTTATCTTGTAAACGAAAAGAGATAGACTAATGAAATTTTTTGGAAGCATTACTGTTATGAAAACACACTTTCTGGTAATTTTTTCACTTTTTTAAAATAAGTGGAAGGGGTTGAAATAAACTACCCTTATCATTCTTGTTAACGAAATTTAAAGAAAAATCTTATCAAATACATGCAAAAAAAATTTGGATAGTTTAGTTTGTTTAGACACTTTTTTATGTCTTGTGTTTTTTTGGTAAAACTCACCGATTTGAAATTAAAAAATAAAATGTAAAGCATTACAATCATGTCAGGACAAAAAACAATTTTGGATAAAGAATCTAGTAGGCTGCTGTCAAACAGTTTTATTTCGTAATAATATCGTTACATTTTCTTCTGAACGATAACCTCTTAAAAATTATTTACCAAACAATTTTTAACTCTGTTTTTTAATTCATGAAAGTACAAAATAATAAAAAAAAGTACATATTAAAAAATAAAAATGTTTTTTGTCCTGACATGGGGTAATGCTTTACATTTTATTTTTTAATTTCAAATCGGTGAGTTTTATCAAAAAAACACAAGAGATAAAAAAGTTTCTAAACAAACTAAAATATCCAAATTAATTTTTTTGCATGTGTTTGATAAGATTTTTCTTTAAATTTCGTTAACAAGTATAATAGGGGTAGTTTATTTCAACCCCTTCCACTCATTTTAAAAAAGTGAGAAAATTACCAGAAAGTGTGTTTTCATAACAGTAATGCTTCCATAAAATTTCATTAGTCCATCTCTTTTCGTTTTCAAGATAAAAAATTAAAACATTATTTTTCCGCCATCTTTGTACCGCGATAATGATTGACTTTTGACCCAACGTTTATGAAGCAAACTACCCTTTATTTTGAACAAGGAATCAGCCCCTGAAGTTTTTCGCATTTGTTTTGAAACACCCTGTATATGAGTTGTAAATCAATGTTTTTAAATGACCTGTTGCCAAAATCTTATCAGAATTAGTGATAAACGACAAAAAGAAAACCCAAAAGGAAGCCGAAAAAATAATCGCGGTTAAACTGGTCTTGTGATTTAATCACTTATCTAAACAAAATTTATTTGAAAAATTAGATTAGCTGATTGGTCCATTTCACGATGAGGGAAATAATCGTCATAATATGCACACGTTTTCATAATATGCACGTTATATGTTTCCAGTCTAATGTTATTGCCATAAATGCTAACTGTGGATGTTATTTTTTGCAACTTGGTTTGGACATATTGCCTACTGTGCACCTGTAAGATGCACACGTCGTATCACAGCCACTTGCGTGTAAAAATAGTACATGATTTTGACTCTTTGTCGAACTAAGCCTTGTTTTTCAATTGAACTAAGCCTTATTTTTCAAACATTTTAAATACTGTTATTTTATCCCACCTGTAAGATGCACACGTCGTATCACAGCCACTTGCGTGTAAAAATAGTACATGATTTTGACTCTTTGTAAAAGTAGATCAACTTTTTGATGAAGATATTTCGGTTTGATGTTGAGGTTTCCCTGGTTTTAAGAAGAAAATAGTTTTTTAGCAGTTCGAGCAGTGATAGTACGAGTAAGTCTACATCTTCACCAACAACAATAGTTGTATTTGTCAAATTAAATTGCTCTATAGCTGTTTTTTATTTCCATCGCTTTTATAATTTCCAATCCTTACTAATATTGTTACGGATTCCGTGGGTCCACTATTTAAACTCACGATAAAATACTTAACGAATTTATTTGTCTCACTCTGTACACACAACTTATACTATTTACAACACAATTTATGCAACTACTATTACTCTAACGGTATTTCGCGGTATTATCAAACTTCAGACTTCAGACTATCTTCAGACTAGTCCAACTGTCAAAGCGCGGGCCTTATATACCCCCTGGCGATTGTTTCTGGAATTTTCTAAAGAATTCTGGAATTTTCTTTTACTTTCTGGCGAATTCGCCAGGTTCCTCAATGCACATTGCGATTATGTAGCAGTCAAATACGTTTAAATAAAATATACGACGGCCTCCCCATAAGAGCAATGAGAGGATTTACGTCCCAGTATTGAAGGAGGACAGAAAATCGAGTCGAATGTTCAAGACATAGGTTCATCCTTGTTTAGTCAAACCTCCTACAAACCAAGGATAGACTTACGTAGGAAATGCATTGAAATTCTATAGCCATTCTTCAACATCGGGACAGGAATTTAAGCGGTACCCTCCGTATACTTTATTTTAAACGTATTTGGTAGCAGTACTGCAGTTATGCAACCAGTAATACACCTTGACAATATCTTTTATTCTTTTATAGTTTTCACTTAAACAGAATCACAATAGACATGTGGAATAGACCTACGACGATTATTTGACTCGTTATACCTCAGAAAGTGTAGTGGCTCCAAGGAAAAAAGTATTGATACATTTTTTTACATATTTTCATATGGAATTATGATCTATAATTTTTGTCTGAGGTAATTTTATGATTAAATTTACCGTTTTTTTTTAGGTTAGGTTAGGTAGGGTTAGTAATTTCAAAAAAATAATTTTATTTACTTATTTCATCCCTTCTCGGGGGTGAATTATTTTTTTTTTTCGCAATTGGTTTTTAGATCTTTCAAAGTAACTTATATCAAAAACTCAAATTTTTACCAAAACTTCGTATTTAAAGGCCTGTTTTCTTGAACTACTAAGGCCACAGATTAGGTATATTATAAGTATACAGATAAAAATCTTGTCCCTGATTCGTGGTACGAAAATTGTTTTTTATGACGATGAGCAAACGAGTAAAATTTCCTGTGCGCAAAAATAAACTCGCGTTTAAACAGAGTAATAACTGGTCCGGTCAGGCACTGTGCACAATTTTAGAGGTCATAAGTGGGCGTGCTATGTGCTCAAACTAGTAACCTAACTAGCGTGCGACTCTGAAAATTAGAACCACGAAAAACAATGCTTTTGACGATAAGTTTATAATCTGTATAATCTATGCTTAGGCTTTAAGTAGGTTGTATTTTAATTTTATATAGAGTAAAGACGTTTTTTAAATGTATAGTTTAAAATTCCATTTTCTTTTTTAATCTTTCTATAATTGATAATTTTTGGGAAGTTTTATGTCAATTCACGGTAAATCACGTCTAGAGATTGACCTGGCCAAAATTATCATCGATTGTCATTCCTAGCCGTCTTTGAATTTTTTGGCATTAAACCTGGTTCATGTGTGTTTTTGTATTTTAGTGTAATTGACGATCCGTTGGCCGCATTTAATCGCATCCTAAGAGAAAAAGACGAGAAAAGGGCGAGACAACAGCGCTTAGCTAGGCGCAGCTGGAGCAGGAGCAGGAGTCGCAGCAGGAGCTACAGCAGATCGCCTCCGCCTCTTAGGCGACGTAGCCGATCGCCGCGCAGACGCAGCAGGAGCCGGTCGTTCTCGATTAGCAGGTATTTATATGCTTCTGTAGCTTTGACAGTGCTTTGAATTAAATATAACTAGACAAGGGTAATGTTTGCTATTCACAAACACTTTCTAAGATTTTTACAGATAATGAATAGACAGGTGATTATAGCTTTGTTCCAACGCAGAAATTAGGACCGTTCTAGAACGGTTATTGGTATCGCCGGGATCGAATTTGTGTGCATGTGTCGACGGGATCGAATTTGTGCGCATGTGAGGACAGTTTTGTTACAATACCAAAATTAAATGCAGTTGGAAGGGTTTGGGAATCGATTTTAGAATTCGCCCTGGCTGCTGTGGCGCCTTACGCTGGAATCCAATTCATAACCTTATTTTTTGTTATTGATATTGGTTAGATCTAAGGGTTAGATATATTTTTTGTACGATTTTTATTATCTAGAGGATTCAAAATGAGCAATATATCGTATGATTAAAAAAAACGGCGTTGTGAAAAAAAGATCGCTATCATTTTTTATATGTAAAATTATATGGAGAATTGCATTGATCTTCATTTCCAAGCCAACTGGACGCCGTTTTTTCTCGATCGTACGGTATTTACGTGCTTGAACTATACACTATAAGACAATTAATAAATTGGGAGGGAGATTTATTTATATTTATACGTTTGAATCATTCGTTCAAATCATTTTCGCTGGTATCCAACAGACACGATATCACTGTCCTCTTCGTCACTCATCATAGTTCAAAAATAGAGAAATATTTAAAATAAATACACGATAAACATCAAATTAAATTGTCAAAATTAAAAAGAGAAATGGCTAAAGGAATTTAAAGTCCAGAAAAAATCAATAATCTGCTGACACAGTCTTAATGCGCAGGTCAGTCCCTATGATTCTCGCTTTCAGGCTGGTATCGAAATTACGGTTCTGGAATCGATTCACTAACGGTGACAACTCTTGTTGGAACGCAAAAATTATCGTTCACTAAACGATTCTCTCGTGGTTGGAACGCTTTTTCTCCACTGCGGAGAAGCGTTACCGAACCGAGTACGGTTCTCTCTGTCGTTGGAACGACACTTATGCTTGAGTTTGGTACCTATGACAATCAAAATCTTATAATCTTATTGCTACGGTTTTTAATAGTCTTTTTTTTATTTTATTGTCTAATCCAACTTCGCTTTTTTTTTATGTGAAGCTCTAGTGGAGCCTAGCATCTGACTTGTAGTTAGGACTGTAAAATTTCAATTTAAAATACAGCTAGTTGGACTGCTGGTTCTGAATAAGCTGTGGCGCAAATGATATGTCGCAAGTCGCAATAGGTGTAGAAATATCATTGCAGTTATATATTAAAATTGTACTTTATCTATGTGGAGGAAAGTTATTTGCGTTTTCTTATTCATTTTGGCTGAAAATGCCTTACTAGTTTCTATGTGTAGATTGACTACTATGTAAATAGAAATGTTTTGCGTTTCCTACAATGGGATCTTTCACTAACGTATATTTTCATTATTGTGGCGTTTTTTTACAAGAGACAAAAAATGTAGTAAATACTGGAAGGACCATTTTACGAAAAAAACAATCGGTCGTTGGTTGTGTTGGAAAAATGTTATACTAAAATTTATGTAGGGGTGGGGTGGGGGTAGTTTTCAATCTTCCGGTACTTTTTCTTGATTTTTGTGAAACTCAAATGTTAAAGCATTTAGCAAAACATGACACCCAAAATGTCGGAATAAGGGTTCTTAAAATATCTGAAAAAATGTGTTTATTTTTTAAAGTTTCATGCCCTCTAGTGTACAAATAAATGAAGCACTTTTGTAGAGAGGTAAATCGTATCCAATGAACTTATTTTGATTCCAAGCATTATTTTAGTACTTTTTAAATTAACAATTAAGAAAAAAATTGAATGTAGTAGATATTAATATTATATATACGCTTGTCTAGTTATGTTTATTTTTCTGTGATTTACACCCTTTAATGGCTTTAGTAGAAAAAAGCACATTTCTATTAAAATTGTTTTTATTTTTTAAGTATTTAACGTGTGATTTATAATTTTGCATGATATACTTAGGATTGATCGTTTTTAGTTTCTTCTGTGTTTTTCCATCCTCTAAGTTGCGTTCTTAATTATTTGTTGTCACTGTGTATTAATCCATCTTTTGCTTTTCCGAGTATAGCACGTGTATGGGCTACCCAAATAGAACGTGTATACTATTTCTGTAATATTTGTTTTCTAACAATATTTATAATATTACTCTATTTTAACTTGAATATATTCTGTTTTCAGTTGTTTAGGAATCGAATTTTAACAGTGATAGCTGGCTTTGTCTAGTTTTTTATAAAATATCGATGTACTTGTGGAGTACTCTTAAAGTTTGAGTAAAGTTAGACAAGTTTTTTAATATAGTTTAAATTATCTAAAATAAAGAAATTTATATTTTACATATTAATTCAGATAAACTCAAACACTTTGAAACCGAATTGAGAAACTTAAAACTTACCTATTGTACATTACCTGTTATTATAAAAGTATTTTTGCTGGAAAAAATGATAAAAGTTTTGTTAGTAATACATTTAGCTTTAATTAACTTCTTTACGTACAGTATTGTCCCACTTTTAACACGCTGTAACTTATTATTTACTTATATTAAGTATTTTGTTAAATTTAAATAGAACTATTAAAAAAAATGTGATACATTAGATTATAAGAATTAAGATTTAATACACTTTTTTACTCTAATACACCGAATATAGAGTGTGGGAAAGCTTGGCTAAAGTGTGGGAAAGTTTGGCTTTTAGGTGGTGAAAAAGTTGTCGTACGCAAGGTAGAATATAGCTTTTTAGATAATAATTTTTGAAGTGAAACTTCTTTACGCGCGATGGAGGTAAAAATTCAAGGCCGTGACACACGAGCTAGAGAGAAAAAATAATGGTAAGGATCGCGCCAACACCAAAAAAACATTTGATTTAAAGCTAAGAAAAGCATGATAATAAACTTGATACTGTACCTGGGTACCGATATCATCTGGTTGTGTGCTTGAGACTAAATTTTCATGCATATTTTCATCGATAGGTTTGTAGCTTGTGAATAACAGTCTAGGTAAAGCATCTAGCTCATTTGCTAGCTCAGAATTAGAATTATTAGAGTTAAGCAACTCGGAATTGAGAGTACATTGTAATATTTAATTCAAACCAATAATCAATGAGAATATTCGTATAATTTAACAAAAATACGAATTGTTGGTTAGGTTCAAAAATTTTTCTCTTCTTAAATAAATTTAAGCGTTAACTTTATTAGCATTTACTATGGACATTTGCATAAAAGTGTGTATTTTGGGTGGTACTGAACAAAATTTGCAACCTATTGAGGAAACAGAAAATGTACAGAAATAAATTGAACATAATATTTATATTGAAACAGCATTATAATATGTCACTTTTTCAAACATGTCCTTCAAATCCTTCAATTTAATAGCTGTTAGTAAGAAGTTTCACTTCAAATATGCGTACATAGTGCATACACTGTTTTTTTCATCATTGTGAACGATATTTGCATGGTAATTAAATAAACAAAAATTTTATTTTATTTTTTTGGTGCACCCTAATGTATAGTGTATGTACCAATAACTAGGCCTGTTCCAAACACCGGAACACCGTTTCAACACCGGTGTTGGGCTGACACCGGTGGCGAAATATGGACTATCCGGTGTTCCGATGTCGACACCGACACCTGTGTTGACACTGACACCGGTGTTGGCACCGACACCGATGTTGGCACCAATACCGGTTTTGACTACGGTGTTTGGTAAACGGGTTAAAGAAGAAATAATGTTAATTAATAAGTTAAAAATAAACCCTGATGATAATAATGTCGTATCGGTGCTTATTTTTTTCGTTTATTAAAGCGCACAGACTTAAAGCGTTCAAATTTAAATATATTTTTTTGCCAGACTAATCACTAAAATAAAGTGGAAGCATCAGATAACCAACTATAAAGTAAAAAATTGTTTAATCAAAAACAAATAGAAAACAAAACTAAACATAAAGAAACAAAAATTCGTAGCTGTAAAAAAAACTAAAAAATATTACATTAAAAAAAACAAAAAAAAAACAAGCAAACGGCACCATCGACGTCGACACCGAGACCGGTGTTGATCTCGACACCGGTGTTCATCGCGATACCGGTGTTGAGATAAACATCGGTGTTCAGATAAACACCGGTGTCCAGATAAACACCGGTGTCGAGATAAACACCGGTGTCGAGATAATCACCGGTGTCGAGATAAACACCGGTGTTGTAGATGAACACCGGTGCTGAAATGAACACCGGTGTTGAGATAAACACCGGTGTCGGTGTTGACCCGGTACACCGACTGAAACACCGGCGGTCATCAATACCTAACACCGTTGTTCAAATCTCAACACTGAACAGGTCTACCAATAACTGTAACATTTGACAGCGTATGATACTTTTGATAATACATAATAAAAATTGACAAAAAAAAACGTAATAATTTGTTAATGAATGTCGTACAACTAAAATTAAAAAAACAAAACATAAGAAACAAAAATTCGTAGCTGTAAAATAAACTAAAAAATATTACATTAAAAAAAACTAAAAAAAAAACAAACAAACGGCACCATCGACGTCGACATCGAGATCGGTGTTGATCTCGACACCGGTGTTCATCGCGATACCGGTGTTGAGATAAACATCGGTGTTGAGATAAACACCGGTGTCGAGATAAACACCGGTGTCGAGATAAACACCGGTGTCGAGATAAACACCGGTGTCGAGATAATCACCGGTGTCGAGATAAACACCGGTGTTGTAGATGAACACCGGTGCTGAAATGAACACCGGTGTTGAAATAAACACCGGTGTCGGTGTTGACACCGGTACACCGACTGAAACACCGGCGGTCATCAATACCTAACACCGGTATTCAAATCTCAACACTGAACAGGTCTATAGTAAACGCCACGAATGTTTGGGAGTGATTCATCGGTCGCTACCATGTGAACTAATCTGTTCAAGGTCACATGAAACTTAGTTCCAGTGCCGTGGTGTTTCAAATCATATAATAATCAATATATAACCTTTTGTAATTTGTTGTTTTAACTGTCGAAGTCTTGTCAAAACATATATTTGGTTATAAATATAAAATGGAATGCCCCATTGGTCGCACTGCAAGCGCACCAATGGACTGACGCACAAAAACGAATCAATCAAAGAAACGCGATATAGTATCGTCTTTGTCAATCACGCTAACATTTTAGAATAAGTAAGAGGAGCGCAGGCAGATGATTAGACCGGGCCTTTAAAAACCTACGTCTGCGGTAAAAATTTACATTTTTAACGTAAAAATGATAGCGCGCGTGTCGATTCTAACTTCATCAAGCGATAAATCACTCCCAAACATTCGAGGCGTTTACTATACCAATAACTGTAACATTTGACAGCGTATGATACTTTTGATAATACATAATAAAAATTGACAAAAAAACGTAATAATTTGTTAATGAATGTTGTACATCTAAAATTAAAAAAAAGTTATAACTAGTTAAGAGTGGGACAAAATAAAATGCTAACATATAAATTAAACATCTAGAATGTGCCTATAGAACCAAACAAATCAATCCACACAATTTAACTTTTTATTACACCATTCTTTTTCCCATTATTAACCTGTCTAAAAATCACGATGATAAAAAGCATCGGCTGCTTCTTTTTGCGTAGCCAGTAGGTACTACGTAGGCAGGCAGGTTACTAGCAAGGGTTGTTGTGTTGATTTTAGGTCGCGATCTCGGTCGTACTCGCTCAGTCCGCCGCCTAGGGGGGCGTCGCCGATGCGCGGCCGCTCGCCCAAGCCGCTGCCGCCCCTCCACCCGTCGAGGAGGGACCACGCGCGCTACCGCCCTTCACCGCCACCGCTGCCGCCCTCACACAGATCGCCGCCCCTCAGGTATGACGAGCATGACAAAGAAAATGTAAAAATGGTTGATGAGTTGTGCCGCGATATATTTATGATTATATTGTAATTGTTGTTGGTTGTGAGGTGGAATGTAGTTTTTTTACGTAGACGCCGGAAGATTTAAATATTGTTTAGAGTTTACTGCTATAGCTGAGATGTTTTAAAAAGAACAGAAATGAAATGTGCAATAAGAATAGGTGCAAGTTTTAATTATCTTTTTTTCGTTCTGCACAAATTATATCATTATATCCGCAGATATCCACTTTTATACAAGGTATGAAAGACGGTGTCCGTCGTGTTTAAGCCTCATGTCTCCTTGCAAGTCAATTTGCTTAAACATCTCTTGAAGTTCTTGCTGACTTGTTAGAGCTTGTAGCACAGTAGGTCTGGGGAAAATCAAGCTTGTCAGAGGACAGAAAAATAACGCGAAGGAAAATGGAAGAGATAAATAAATTTAAAAAACGTATTTTTACATAAAATTTAGTGATGATTGGATTCAAATATTACCAAATTTGGCATCTCTTCGAGCATGGCCAGAAAGAAGCATAGAATGCAATACTTTTTACTAATAATGATAATATTTTTAAATGGTCTCTTTTATTATTTGAGATATAAACACAACTTCTAACTAAACGAACTATTGATATTGTTGACAGTATAAATAAAAATCTTTTAAAGGTTGTCATTTGTATGTGTCAAATAAAAATCGTTTGAAGGATGTGAATTTTTTACACATGTGTAAAAATTGTGAAATTCACATCTCTTCGCAGATTTGGCAAGCTGTACATATTAAGATAGATATTTATGAAAAAATCGAACGCTTGGGCAGTTTTTAGTAGTGTCTAAGTAGATCCACACTGAATCCATTTTCTTTCTCAATTTTTTCTACGTTTTTTGACGTTTTCTTATTTTCAATTCGTTTTTTAAAGGAATATGCCGGGTCTCAAAAGTGGCTCGCCGCTATAACTTTTTTTGTAGTTGTTGTTGTAGTCATTTCCGGTGAAACAGGAAGTGATAAAAAACAATTGAATACGTCAATCAATCCTAATTTAGTATGTCATGTACTAGCATACCAAATCTGGTTTTTTTTTATCTAAGAAAAAAAAAGTTATAGGGGTGAGCCACTTTTGAAACGGACCCGGTATGTTAGGATCGCAGTATTGAAGGGACATTTTGCGGTTTTGCGAATAAGAAAGAGTAATGTACACGTTTTATTAAAAAGTTAAGGCAAACAAGCTTGCAAGAGTAATAAACTTAGGAATGTTTACTGAGAAAACTTACAAGTTGCTTGTAAGGTTACACGAGGCTTTATCATTATTATGGAACGAGAAAGGTGGTCAAAAATTACAGCTGTTTTTGTGTTTTGCACGTTTTATTGCTGTTGTGGTCTTTTTTTATATCTCCACTGTCGTAATACTTGAGATAGTTTGTGCATGATTTAAAAAAAACGTATTTCAAATATTAATTAAATTTAAAAATGCTTTATTTTGACTATAATTTTTTTTCGTGTCGTAGAATATTGCTTTTATATTATCTTTTCTTTTATGTTAGTTTTATTAGAGGTTTTATTCCAAAAGTTATTAGATCTCGATGATAATATTCCGTTAGTAAAGCCAAAGAAACCAAACAACACTAAGTATATATTTTTAGCCAAAGCAAAAAAAAATAAATAGAATCTCTAAGAAAAGAAAGAAATATTTTAAATGGCTTAAATTTATATGATATATTTATTTATTTGACTATGGCATATACAGGGTGTCAAAAAAATAGTGTATCTAACTTCGGTGAATGATTCTACAGATAAAAATAAAACAAAAAGTTCCTATCAACTAAAATGCTTCCCTAAGAACTTACAACCCTCGAAAGGGTAAATAAAATTATATATTGTGTTTATTTTTAAGAACATTGGTAACCCGGTTTTCTTGTAATTTGGTACACATTTTAATGCCAAAGCGAATGGCTATAGTGTAAAATACCACAACAGTGCTGAAAGTGTACTTTTCATTAGGGTAGAGAGTATTGCTGGTGGTACTTTTTTATCCTTATACATACAGTAATTTCATCAAACGGTATAGAAAGCGTGGAATTTTTTATGTAAGAAAAGTGCTCTACGTTTAGTTTAAAAAAAAAATGGTGAACGGTTGTCAAGATATTTGCGTTTAAAGTTTACGATGTGGCGATTTTAGTATTAGTGAAATCATGAGATTAATTTATTTATAATTTCTTTACATTTTATCATTTTGTTAATACTAAAATCGACGCATCCTAACTAGTGTTCGACCGATAGGCTCTTTTTGGCCGATACCGATAATCGGCCGTTACCGATATGTTTCAGGCCGATACGATATATATCGGCCTATCGGCGTATTTTTTTTAATTGCCGCGAGGGCCGATTTTTATAGTGGCGAGGTTCAGCTCAAGTTCTTCCGCCTATATTATGCATATAATTTAATTCCGAACATCTGGCAACATTGCACCACAGTAGTAGTAATAACTTTGGTAATAATAATAATGAATTAATGACCTTGGTAAATCCTCTAATCGTCTTCGCGACACAGCGGCCGTTTCCGAGCATCCCGAGTTTCTTTATTATTCGGTATTTCCCAGAACACGCATTTTTCGTTCACTAGACTCTGGGCTTGTTTTGGGATTGAATTTGTCTAATCCTGTTAGGGTGTTTATTTTTAAATGCGAGTTGTGTTTAAACTAAATTAAAATGGCTTCAAAGAAAAGTATTTATTGGAAATATTTCGTGAAGAATAAATTATCTGTGACAGCTAAGACTTCGACGGTTAAGTGCCAATTATGTGTTTTATTTATTCGTTACTGTTTATCTTTTTGTCTTATTTTAAGGAAATCGTCCGGTTTTTTTGTGTTCCTATACATTCCTATGCTAAACTTTTTTTAGACAGATTTAAGGGAAATTTGTTTTTTTTTCAAATTTTCTGTTTTAGTTTATTTCTCTGTTTATTATTTTAAAGAATCCGTTTCAGTTTGTATTCATATATGTTTAATAAAGTTGTTCCTAAAAAAATCAAGTTCAGTTAATTTTTTTCGTGAATAATCAATAAAATAAAATATCGGCCGATATACATTTGTATATCGGCCGATACCGATAATCGGCATGATGGTACGGCATACCGATATTTTCATATCGGTATCGGTATCGGTCGATCACTAATCCTAACCTTTAAACACAGATATCTTGAAAACCGTTATATCGAACTAAAGAAAGTCCCAATATTTTGTCATTTTTTGAAATTTCAAATTATAGATACAGCAATTGCTGTATCTATAAGGATAAAGAAAGTACCACAAGTAGTACTATCTACCCTAATGGAAAGTACGCTTTCAGGGCTGTTGGTCGGCTTGTTTCGCTTTGGCACTAAAATGTGTGTACGAGTACCAACTTTAAAGAGAAACGGTTTACCAATGTTCTTAGAAATAAACAAAATATATTATTTCTATTTACCCTTGAGAGTGAAAGAGTGCAGGAAAATAGAACAACTAAACACACAAACATGATGATTTTAATCTCCATAAAAAACTTGAAGAAACCGCTGGGGTGTACAGAAAACGGAGCCTAGGTATAACAATCAACGAGAATAATCAGATAGTTCTAAATGATAACGAAAAACGCCAAATTTGGGAGGAGTATGTAGAAAAACTGTTTAATGATAATAGACCGGACAAAAAACTCGCAGTAGAAAATAATCTAACTGGACCTTCTATTACGACAGAAGGGATTGAAAAGGCTATACAAGGTGCGAAAAATAATAAAGCAGCTGGGCCGGATGAGATCCCATCAGAAATACTTAAACTTCTGGACGAGAGAGGCATTGCAGTTCTATCCAAGTTGTTTAACCGAATATATGATACTGGTCACTATCCGGAGCAATGGTTATCTTCAACCTTTATCCCTATACCAAAGAAGATCAGCGCACGAAAATGTGAAGAACACAGACTCATCAGTCTCATGGGTCATTCTCTAAAAATATTCCTGAAAATAATACATCGGAGATTGTACGGAAGGTGTGAGGATGCCATGAGTGACTCACAGTTTGGATTTAGACAGGGGTTGGGTACCAGGGAAGCACTAGCGGCGACGCAGATATGAGTACAGAACTGCTACGACCAGCGAAGAACGCATGTTTTATAGATTACGAGAAAGCTTTCGATAGGGTTCAACATCATAAACTTATGCAGCTTCTCAGGAGATTGGATTTAGACTAGAAAGACATCCGATGTATCGAAAACCTATTCTGGCACTAATCAGCACGGGTAAAATTAGTGAACGGTCTAACCAACCAAATTTGTATTCGCAGAGGAGTAAGGCAGAGGTGTATACTATCGCCGCTCTTGTTCAATATATACTCAGAGGCCATCTTTCAGGAGTCGCTAGAGGACAAGGAGATTGGAATTAGAGTCGATAGAGTCTGGATAAATAATATACGATATGCCGATGACACACAGCTAGAGATAGGGAAGCCATGGAAATAGTGGTCGCAAACATACATTAATGGATAAGCAGAGAAAGAAGAAGAAGACCCTTTCGAGGGTTGTAACTTCTTCGGGAAGCATTTTAGGGCATTTGTTTATAGGGACATTTTGTTTTATTTTTATATTTAGAAGCGCCTACCGAAGTTAGATCCACTATTTTCTGACACCCTGAATAGTCGTTGTAGAACTGCAAAATAGAAAGGCGATGACTTTAGTATCTGGAAGAACAAAGAACTTTGATTTGCTTTTATTATTATTGAGTCTTCATTTATTTTGGAACTAATGTTCATTCACTGCTCAATTTATCTTCTTCGCGAAGAATGTATTAATTTTGGATGTTTATACATACCAAAGAATGACAAAAACAAGAACAATACCGAGACTTAACAGTTACAAGAAGCACTCCATTTTACTTGCATGTGCCATATATTTTTCTAAACACTCTAGTGATATTCAATATTTTAAATAGCTTAAATTCATATTATGTTTTC